CCAATAGAGTGATACACATCACCACACTGATAGAAATAGAAATAAATACCATCCCAAGTGATTAAAAGTCAAACGTAAGAATGACTGCCCACACAGATTCTTGGCTTCCCACACAAGAGCCTTTCACACGAACTTCAGTGTTAAAGGCTCAATGAAATCCTCTTTGCATTTCTCTCTCCTTCAGGGCATAACATCACTGAAATCCCCTCTTTCACCAGACACTTGAATAGCTAGAAACCCGCTACACTTGACATTAATGGGTATGGCTGTGATTGATTACTCGTATGGGATTTCATGATGAGAATAGAAGTTTGGTCCCCTGAGAACAACTGCTCTGCCCAAATAAACTCGTCATTTTTTATTTTTATGTTCTCACCTCTCATGAAAATGGAGAACCTATAGCTAAAAATAAGAGTAACAGATACCCATAGCATAGGACCACATATCCAAGTGAGTCAAGGATAAAACATTTCTAAGGCTCTAGACAGAGTTATAAAGGAAATGTGCCGGGCCTAATTCTCTGGTAATTACTGATTCATGAGTTACTGTCCTGGGCTATATTTGTGCTGGTATAGACAGCTGATTTACAATCTATTCTTCGCTTATGTATTACTAAGCTCTATTTTGAGAAATCAAAAGGAACTTAACTGGTGCATAACCCTTGGGGACAGAAGAATAGCAGCAGAGCCAGAGGAATCCCAAACTGCACTACTCTTTCTTGTTCTCAAGGATTACCACATAATATAATTTTTTTTTTTTTAATGGGCTTGATATATATATAAAACCAATTACATACCATGTGATGTGTGGGTGTTTAATGTTTGGCTGGGATAGGTCATATCTCTTTGCATTCTTTCTTATAAATACATCAAGAACTGGAAAAAGTACTTATAAAAGATGGGTACTGTAAAATCCCTTAAACAGAAATCATCACATTGGGGCAATACTGCATGGCCAGTTGCAGTTTATATGCAGCAGTAAAACTGGCATGGTAATCAAAGTTTCTTAATTTTAAAGCACAAGAATTTGCCCAAAATTATAACTTTTCACATTGAAAAATGGGGGGGATTTGAATCTTCCTAACTGGTATTTATAGAGAAATAAAAGATTTATTTTCTAAATGTTGATACAAAAAGAATTTTTTTGTTTTGAATTACAGTGTGACTTAGTATTTCATTTTATTAATTTCAAATCTGCATTTCATGATTTTGCTTTGAAAATCAAAAAAAGCTTTTTAACAATGTCAGAGCAGTTATTTTCAGTATTTCCATATTTTCTGAACAGTTTTTTTTCCTATATTTTGATTTTTTCATTTCAACTTAAATGAGAAAACAATTGAAGAAAAATAAATACATTTCTAGAATTCACCTGTTTTGCAACCATCTTTACATATACCTGCAGCCTTACAGCTCTTTTGTTTTTAGAATAGAATAGTTTCAGCTGGAAGGGACCTACCACGATCATCTTGTCCAACTGCCTGATCACTTCAGGGCTGACCAAAAGTCAACGCATGTTATGAAATGCACTGTCCAAATGCCTCTTAAACACTGACAGGCTGGGGGCATCAACCACTTCTCTAGGAAGCCTGTTTTGCTTCCTAAGATGCTAAGAGAAGATGAACTGCTATGAAGGATTAGTCAACTTTCCTTTCCAAAAGAATAAATGAAACAAATTGGGAAAATGGCTGGGAGGGGGCAAGAAAATGCCACACTATATCACAGAGGGGAAGAAAATATTCTGTGCTCCTAAAACAGAGATGGTAGTATACACTTTCTACTGATACCAATAATCTTTCCATTAGTTCCACTGTCATGAAAGACCAAATTCCATACATTAAATCTGCAAAGATACTTAAGGGGTGGTCCAGAACACTTGAAAAGCAAATAAAGACTAGAAGATTATTTTAATATATTGCTTATAAACCTACAGTATAAGATCTGAACAGAAATGGTTTAAAATATGTGGTCCCTACTGACCTTCCCTTAATATAAATACATAAGATATCCCACTAAATTAACTGCATTTAGATTTTTATTGAGTAAAAAAAAATGCTTCTTCAGGAAATGCATGAAGATCTGACTACTGCTGGAGGCACAGGAAAAAATTGTTTTTACAAAGCACTGGAAAATATTATGACTGATTATATTTGTAGTTACCAGGCTGAAATAAAAATCTTAGGCTATATTATCAACCTCAGTGGCAAAACTTGACTGAAATCAAAGAAACATCCGCTAAAGATCTGCCCAGTGACATGTTCTTGGCACAACTAGCCAGTATCAGCAAGACACATGCCCTCATTTATAGTGAGATGTACAATTAGTTTGAATTCATTTCACCTATCTTTAACACATGAGATGTTCTATATTGCCAAGAAAACAATACTGGACTTAGTGTCCTAATAGTCAAGGTATGACAAAGCCCATATTATTACATCTGTTGAAAACTACACAAATACTTCTTTCTATCTAGCATTTGGATAACTCAGGTGATGAAGGCCATAAAGTAGTGGAGAGTTTCACATAATGACAGACAAACTCCCACTGGACAGCCGTCATGTCCAACCCTCCACTTGCAGCAGATTCTTTATATACTGCAATGTCCCATATGATATTAGAAGTAAAATATATTTATATTTCTTTATTTCTAAGGATGTTTAAGGGAAGGATCATTTGGTACTTATGAGGCACTAAATGTCTGCTCCCAAATCCTTACTATTGCTGGCTGATACAGTTCTCGAAAGAAATCAGAATGGTCTATATACAGAAAAGGGGAAAACAAAAACCTAGAAAATATTTCTAATGGTTATAAATGTACAGACTCTTAGAATTTATTATTCTTGTCTGAGAGGAATGTGATATTTATGAACAACCATGACTTTGAAGTACTACACAGGAGTTATTCCTATCGAAGGTCCAGGACACTTCCCTGATTGTGTCTGAATGATATAAGGAAACATAAAGATTCTGAAACACAGCAAAATACAGACTTAATATTAAACATGCACTTTCTGGCTTTAATTCTTACATACAAAGACCATTGACAGATTGCTTGAGTCAGAGCAAAACTGACACATACTTCAGTGGTATGCTATGTTTTTTCATAATTTAAGTGTGCTAAATATACCTAGACTCAGATAAGAAAAACGCCATTAAACAAGTCTGCAAGAGGGAGGCTTCCACTGTCCTTTCTTACCTGTTAGTGACTTTGATGGTTTTCAGACCTAATATATTTGAAAATTTTTTTTGATTAAAGACAGAGAATCACATGCCCTCCTGATTTACACCCTATACAATCTTGCTAAGGAAAAATTGGTTCTAAGGCAGACATGACATTTCTGACCCACTGTGTTACTTCTAAATGATTATACCCTTTCACATGGTAGTTAAGAGACCTGTAAAGTGTATTGCCTATGAAACTCCAGCTGCTGTGAAGAAATAATTTCTTCAATAGGGCTATATTTTGCAGAGGCAAATAAGCAGAGTCAGGCTGACTCAAGTATTTCAGCAGAAAAGCTTGAGACAAACTGGAGTAAATCAGATGGGTGTTACCACAAACCAGCCACAGGCTGGTTTTCTAAAAGTAGGGACAGTAAGTAGGTTGCAGACTGAAAAAGAGGCCCTTGGAAGTGTGAAAAAGCTCCCTTGATATGTCCAGGGATAATTACACCAACAGGGCAGCAGGGCAGGTTATGCCTTGTGCTCCCCGCTCCTTCACACAGGGTTTAACCTGTCCATGAGCCCCTGCCCTGTGTCACAACCTCCCCCTGCTCAGCTTCAGCAGCAGCACACGTGCCACTACACTTTTAGACTCGCCAAGTTATGTTTTGGGCCAGCGGCCAATGTATCTGTAGGTACCGTAACAGCTCTGCGTGCTTTGTAACCTCTGCACCAGCAGTTTAAGCAGGCTGGGGGTTTGTTTCTCCCCCCCAACCTGAGCATGGCCATTTCAACTCAGGAGAAAAGCAACTGCCTGAAGAACGAGGAGGATCACAGCATGAATGCCAAACACATCGCAAATCTTGCAACCAGGATCAGGTATATCCATTTCAATACTGGCAACACCACTAGCAAACCACAAAATATTGCTGAAAGCCAGATATGGCTTCATAGCCATATAGATAATTACACTTTATGCAACTGACACAGATCAGAGACCATCTAGAATTAAAATCAGAAGCCATTTAGGGAATGGAAGTGTCTAGCACATTACGACTAATCCTATAATAAAAAATACCACTTATTGGTAATGATTCAGTTAGTTATGCACAGTCCATACTTACACACTGAAGTAAAATGTGAAGGGGTAAATTCTCTGGCTTTTTCAATAGAAATCAGGTAAATGTTGAGTGTGCAAACTGACAATTTTTAAATATGAGATTAATTAAAACACTATCAAAAGGTTAATTTTGGTGTAAAAGAAGTTATACACTTTTCAAATTAATTTTGTTTGTATATAAAACAGGCATTGACTTATTCTTCAAACATTTTGTCAACTTGCTTAAATCACTTCTTAAACATTTTGAGAGACTGCAAAATATTTGAGCTGAAAATGAAATCGTTTGATAAATGTGTACTCAATAAAGTCATATTTTTTCACCAGTTTCCTTAATAGTGTAAGTTTATATATGACTCCAGTTAATAGGTCTGATTCAACCTCTCCTAAAAAAATGTTATAGATTTTTCATTGCAAAAAGACTGCTCTCCTTTCTAAAGATCAATTTCACCAGTAGAACAAAGAGCAATTTCATTGGACATTACAGCTCTCTTTAAATCTTGGGCTCCATAGATCCAGACCTATAACCCTTATATGTGCTGACACAGTATGATCACTGGTGTGAGTATGAATTTGCGATAGTGGACGCAGCAACACTGACATACTCAATCTGCAAAAGACACCAAGGCTCGTACTGTCCCCATCAGTACCCCTGGAAACATATTTCTTGATTAGAATGAAATACTTTTTCTGTTCATTTTTTATTTGGAAAATAACGGACTTCTTACCAAAAAATATGATCTTTTGAAACTCGTTCCTGCAGAAGGATCCATTTTTTCCCCAAGTCAATGGATACATAAACCTCCAAAAGAAAAAATAAAAAAAGGAGAAAAAAAAATTAGATGATAGGAGACTGTTAATGTTGTACATCTTCAAAGACAGGTCCTATGTCACTATTAAAATGACAGATTGCACACCAATTAAAAAAAAAAAAAAATCATTACCAGGAACTCTGTACAATGTTTTTCAGAGTAATAAACTTTCAGAGAAAAAATCTTTTAAAATATAATCTATAATGAACAAAACTCAGTGACAATGTCTTTTTGTTTACCATGAAAACAATTCACAGTTGATTTTGGGTCAGATTCTTTTTTACCTCAGCATGGTTACACAAGAGGAATGGTAAAAGGACATTTTTCTTCTTCTTCCCATTCATTGGCTAAAAAAGCACAGATGTTCCCTTTATGCTTCAGGCCTTAATGCCATCAAAAATACTTAAGCCAGGAAGTCAATGGATTTAAAACTCTGCTAAAATAGGACCAAAAGGTATTAGAGAAATGCTTAAGAGATTTGATGAGGAGAGATGCACTTAAGGGCTTCCTTCATGGATAGCAATTTGTGACCCGTGAGAAATGGTCACTCAGCAGAGAGGCAGAAGATGGCCTGGAGGAGGAGCACTCCAGCTCCACTTTCCCTCTGAACAGTTCACCCCTGGTAAAAAAACCAAATGCTAATGATATGGATGGATATCAAGAGTGCAGATGAAAGCTGTTTTCCCCCAGAATAAAGTGGGATGTAAAATACTACTCAAAAATCTCCCTCCTTCAGCATTTGCCTTCATAATGTGTTTCCTCCAGTTAAAAAAGGAAATATCTATCAGACTTCTAAAAAGGCAGATTTAAAGCCCCCTGCCGTCTGCATGCATTTCTTATTTGATCCAATTTACATATGATGGGGTTTCTCTTAATATCTCAAATAGGGAAAAAAAGGCAAGTAAAACTGTTCTTCTCTGTTGTGGGAATAAGTCACCAGTTCAGTTGCTCATTATTCTAGGGGAAAGTGTCTTATGAGGACTATAAAGGAATGTTTTTGTTTAAAATGACAGTTTCAATGACAAATGAAACCCCCCCCCACAATTATGTATTATGTTTTACTACAGAAAACCAGCAATATTAATATGTAAAGATAAAGGCTGAGGTAACTTATCTCAGCATAAACTCTATGGGTAAATTTAATAAAATCTGAATTAGAGATAAAACAATATTTCCCCTTTACTCTGCACCTCACAATGACTGGGCTTTGTTCCACTGCATACTAAATTAAGGAAGGCAGATCACAGTTCGGGTAAGGAACTACAATTGGGGCTCAAACTGCTTACTTTAGCATTCACCCAGTCAGTGCCTAGACAGAAATAATCAGGGATCAAAAAGTCTTCGCTCTCAGAGCTAAATGCCTTAATGACAGGGCTGCAGAGCCAGGCTCCTGATTTGCCTGCTAACTTTCTCATCTTAGTTTTATTATGTGGGTTAGGGTTTGCTGCAACCAGTGTATTTTATAGCATATAGCTTAGAGCAACCTCTTGGGAGGGAGGCGTGTGGCTTTGAATGGGCTAGACTGTGCAGGATGGAGAACCTAAGCTTCTTATTTCTTCAAACATTTGTCACCGCAGTCATTACAGAAAAGATAACCATTGGTTTGATCATCTTTCTAAAAGGGTGGACACTGCTCAGTTAGTTACCTGCCTCAGCAGACTGCTATAAATCTGGAAGAGATGATCATTTAATGTGTTGCCCTAGCCCTGGTGTCCAAGTTGCAAAGAAAGCCAAGAAATCAGAGGTTCCTGGCAAGAGGGAGAAGAGCTATTTAGGAAAAGGGGCAACACTGGCACAGGAACAAAGGGATGTAATTTTGTCACGGATGAATTTCAGAAGAAAATAAGAAAAGATTCTTGTCATTAGAACAGTGATGCCTGTGCAGTAGGTGCCAAAAAAGACCAAACCAAACCCAAACCCCTACCACCAAACCCAAACTACCTCCCCTCACGCACATTTAAGACTGAAGTCTGGGAGCTTATGGATGAACAGTTTGACTTAGTGTAGGGGGAAGCCTTTGCAGTCTTACTGTAAGGGAGACTGAAGTAGGACGAATAAGGCATATTCAAACTAAGAGGAATTTTTGACCGATGCAGTATTTGAAATAAATAAAAAATAATGTGTAACTAACTTATGCACACATTTAACTTCCTTTAATTAAAAAAATGACCCATATGTGTTTGGTTTTTAACAAGTACATATGATAAAACTACTACATGAGACTAGATATGAGGTAAAAACAGTTATATTAGTGGACAAGTAAAATCTCTGGCTTCAGCAAACACATCTAATAGATCTTATAATTCTGTTTATTACCACCCATGTAATAAAGATGTGGAATCACTTTTAAAAAAAATTGAAAATGCTTTTCTCAGCTTTGCCATTTTTTCATCCTTTCAGCTTCCAAATGAACAAATAAAATCTACTGCATCCCTGTCAAGTTTTAAAAAAATCTAGAAGCATTTATACAGCCTCAGTGAACAGCTGATTGTTATTCCTTATAACTGAGGTAGCCAGAAAAAGAGAGTATAGATTTGAGGCAGTAAATAGATTAATCCAACCATATTGACTAGATTTGCATTCATTTATAGTGTCAGCTAGAGGCTAGAGCTTTATTTAAACAAAATCTAGGGTTCTGAATGAAAGAACGCATATTTTGTAATATAAAATAAGCCCTAAATCACATCAGAAGTTGTGAGAAAGGCCGTGATGCTCCAGTAGACAGAGAAGCCTTGCTGATTGCTATTTATGAAGGAAGTGATCCTGTATTCCTTATATTCTCAAAAGTGCCTTTGTAAGAAATCATTTGAGTTACAGGAGGTAACAGCTTCTCCTGAGTTTTAGATTGTGTTACATCCTGATACTACTTTCTTTCAGTGAAGGTAAAGCTACTTAACTCAAAAGTCTAGAGTATACCATCTCCCTAGGCCAAATTCAGATCAACGCTATCTCTCAAGACCGTTGATTTTAGTACAGTGACCTTTTCTTATGTCAAGTTGCAATTCTGATTTTCAACTCCTCCTTTGCCAACATCACTTCATCTTCCTCTCCCTTCTAGGCCCAATATATCAGACCTTACACAAAATGTAAGCAGGTTACTGACCCAGTTATAGTTAAAGGCATCCTTCATTCCTGCACATTTTAGGTAAAGATGTAGGACTTGTCCAGTAAGTCTTTATGGTTGACTCTTTTTAGTGTCATATTGAAAGCCTGAGAAAAGTCCATCAGATAACCTAACCCTTCCTGCTACTCCTGCACAACTATTCTTTCCTGAATATTTTGTATGTTTTTTTTGTCCAGTCACATTTTAGGTGTGGCAAATAATAGCATAGCTCCTTTTGGAAGATTATCCAAGTATAAAATGCCTGAAAAATCTCCCTATGATGCATTATTCATCAAAACACAAAGCAAATGGTTCACTTTATGCTTCTGCCTCTTTCTCTCTCCTGGCAAATATTTCTACCCACTTGTTGTGGGCTGGTTAACTCCTTCAATACACTTCTTTGGACTCTTGCACTTAAAGATTCTGCCATTCTGTAACTATATAGAATTCAGGAATTCTATCTATTGTCAGAAACAAAAGTCAAACTGAAAAAAGAGGTTTTCATAACATAGGCTTGTCATAACTTCAGGCTTCCCTGAAGCATTTTGTTTACATAACATGCATTCAACATACTTGTAATTGTGTTAGGATTTCAAATTGAAGCTGCTAAGTAAAATATTTAATGTAATTTGTGACTGAGTTTGGTTTGATATGTTTTTTATTCTAGTTCTATCCTTATTTGCACATGCCTGTAAACATGAATTGTTTTGGGATCAGCTATTAACATATATCCCAGAAAATATCCCAAAGGTTGACTTGATAGAACATCACTGAAATCAGTGCACTATTTGGCTGCAGCATGTGCAACTTTCTCTGACTAATCTCACCACCTAAATGTACACCTTCTGTGAAGTCTGACAAGGATTAAAATGGACTAGAGTTTACTAATTTCAGTTTAAAAGAGGAGTAATGATGGAAGTGAGTCAAGATGACTACCAGGACCAGAATCACAGTGACTTTACAGCTGTAGTTGCGGCTTTGTGAAAAAGAGATGAACCACACACTTACACACTTACACATCAGTGCTTAGCCTAACCCATCCAGAAAAATGACTTTATAATTTAACCAGAAGAAAACTGAAAGATGGTCAAAATTTACAAACATGATACAACTCCTGAATCTGAAAGTGGTATAAATACATCATAAGAGAGAGAATTATTCTGCATTTCTACAGATTCACTGATTCCCCAAATCCTCTTCTGCTGTACGACTATGCAGTTTGTTATATTACTTTATTTTACATCCCATGAACGGCCTTTGGAGGCACTGTTTCAGCTTCATTAACTTTCTACTACACTATAAATTACAGAGCAATTGCTTATGGTCACTTTCTAGGGAGGAGCACATTTCAGAGGTACTATTTAACTATATTATGCAGGAGGATAAATATTACCAATATCCATATCAGCTGAAAATGCCAGGATTGAAATTACGGTAAAAACAAAGATTTGGACATGAAGACAATAAACTTTTAAATAAACCTCAAAACCACATTATGATTTGCTTCTGGGCAACTGGTATTTCATAAAACCCAACACTAATCAGCATATCAGAACTGTTTTATATCTCCTTAACAAAGTAATTCCTAAATTTCAAGCAAATGCAGTATCTTCAAGCTTTACCTTGCCTTCCTTGGTGTATGCAAGTACTTTATCTTCTTCTTTCGGGTGGAAAAGGAGAGTTTCCACAAAGAAAGTAATGGGTTGTTTCTGGAAGGTGGCTCCTTCATCCATGCTTATGAAAAGGCTTTGGTCACGGTCATTATGGGAAGAACTTACAAGAATTATCTAAGAGACAAAAACAACAACATATATTCAGAAGACCGTTTTCTCTATAACAGACAACACAGCCTTATTTCTCTTGTGTAAATGTCACTTTTGTACATACCTTACCTATCAAAATTCTGTGGACAAGAAACTCAAAAGCATCTAAGAGATAAGGACTGCAAGATCCTATTAATCTTCCCTGACCAAATCTGTGAATGTTAAATTCTATAGCTTCTCTTGCAAATCACACCAAATTGATCACGCTCCTCATCTCTTCTCAAAATGACTGCCTTAGATTTTTGTCCTTGTGCAAGGTTCATGAGGCCACATGAGAAAATCTCCAGTCTAACCAAAAAAGAATTAATACTAGTAATGACTCATTTTAACATGTCCATATAAATACATCTCTTTATTTAGTGAGGATGCCTTTATAAATACTAAATGTAAAAATCACTGCTATAGTTATATCAGAAGAATGACCCAGGAGAAAGAACTAGTTTATAACATCTCTCCATTGCTTCACCATTCTTCTCCTGCTGCAACATTTAGGATAAAAAGGCAATTCACTTTAATGCAGAAAAATATGCCGATCAATTATTTGCATTTCCTTCTCATCTCCGAATAATACCTTGACTCAAACGTAGTAATAGCTTGAGCTGTCTCCTTGTGTGAACTTCATATCAGGCTTTCAGCAACAAAGAAATTCTCCCCACATAATTTAATGAGAATTTCACTCTTCTGAGAATTTTCAACTTCTTCACCTTTTGCAGTTGGCCAGCGTGTTATAGGGTGGTTCTAAAAATGCCAATGTGAGTATGCATTTTTATTGTCTTTCCAGGTCAAATGGGTCCAGTTTGCATTCAAAAAGGTGCCTTTATCAACTGATAGCCGACAAACAAAACAGATTTTCAAAGCCCAGCTGGGCTGTATTTGGCTTACACTTCAAAAACAATTAAAAAAAATAAAACCCCTGAATTCAAAATGTATTTAGAATATTTAGCAGATGATGTAGATGACACCACAGAATACTGATCACTGTGATACAGTGACTGTAAATCGCTTACAGAGATAAATGGCAACAAGTTATGCAAACAGAATTACAATAATGTGAATACAGAGGAAGAAAAATATTGGACAAAGCAGTACAATTTTTACGTAGTCACTTTTTTAACTAAAGCTGAAGTTAAAAATTCAAAATTTCTAATGAATTACACAGATGTGACAGCTGGACTGAGCTTTTACTGCGATTGGTCTTGGGGGAAAAACTATAAATACAACATTTGTTGATGCTCTAATTTGACAGGTTACTTAAGCATGTGCACTTGTACTTGAAGCACATACACAGTAGCACTAATTTCTGCATAGCTTTCATACATCTAAAACGGGGCACATACTGAAGTACATTGTTGAATGAGAGTTGCACGTACTTCAGGGTCCATGGTCCACCACTGAAACCCCACACTAAAGCATCTATTAAGCCAAAGGTACTTCTATTAACTGTGTGACTAGGTCAGTAAGAGCAAGATAATAGCCCATAACCTTGCTATGATCTTTTATTTTTTAAATTACGTACTTCACCCAAGAGTAGGAAACTATGTCATTTTTATTGGAAAGCCTCTATAAATGACACCTTCACAAATGCCATCTCTCATTCCTATGTCTCTTGGTAAACTCTTCAGGCAGTATCTGTTTAATTTATTACCATATACACTCCAAATATGCTGCTGGTGGCCTAGATACAGCATTCAAAGGTTCCTGTAACACACTCATTTGGCAGGTTTTCTGCAGAGGACATGGCACCAACCTAAAATTGAATGTGACTGTCATGTGCTGCCCTGTCCCTTTGCTTGCATCGCAAGGTGGAGTGAAGAAGCTTTTATGCCCAGCATGGAGATTTGTACTTTCCTTGCCACACTACCACCTGCAACTCAGCCTCAAAATAGCTAGTTTTTCTTGGAAAAAAATGAATTCAAACTATCTGCATGCTGACCAAGCTATATAGTGCTCATTCCTGTTGGTTCCTGACCAGATCACAGAAAGAAGGACCCAGAACTGTGCTAAAGTAAACTCCACAAGCAAAGCTGCAATGTGAGCGCCACAATTCCTGATGAAGCTTGTGTCCGAGCACGCCCTCGCATTTTAACTCATGCACAAGGCTGGTCCTGACACCTATGCTTAGCTTGCAGTGTGTACAAGTCCTTCCATGCTGTATCACTAGAAGCAGTAAGGTAGTAATTCCATATAGAAAGCTTAATATCTTTGGATACAGTCTTCTAGTCCAACTAACACTTTCTGTAATTATCATTATCTTCATTCTCTCCTGTTAATGTTTTTAAAAAATGTATACAACTAAGACAACAAATCAGTATGGCATATACTCCAGAAAAGGTTTAAACTGCCCTTGTACAGAATGGCAATCTCAGGACTACAAGCACTATTGTCTTGCTTGCTTTTTCTGGCACAATAAATCTTATGCTTCCAAAAATACCAAAATATTGGCTTCAAAATAATAAAGGAATGAGGTTTATAAATTTGGGAGTGTTTTTCACTGTTAATGAGCCTTGAGTGTAGGCACGTCTAAGTTTCATAATGAGGACCCAAGAGCAGCTTGCAGAGACCATCATTCTAGAAACTGAAGTCATAAGAAAAATGCTAGCTATAATGAAATGCAAACACACTGTGATATTTGCTAATGCTGTCCTTCAAAAATATTATGTATCTTTCGGAGTTCAATCTATCAGAAGAAAACCAGCCTAAAGATTGTAGACATCTAAGCATATATGGCAAAGACCCTAACTATATTTTTATTCACACACACATCATAATTCATTTAATGAAATATTTTTGAATTTCACTCAGTGTTCTGATTTATATTTCAATAGTTTAAACTGATCATTATGTGCTAGGCATACAGATTTGCTTCCCACAGCTAACACACTGGGTACTCAGACTTGCCTGCTGGCTAACACTACTTATTGAGGAAAATATTCCAGAGTAAATATTGTACCCACATTAAATGCTTTCCATAACAAGTTTTGTTTACTTTGTAACTGGAACAAATAGCAAAACCTTCCTGCTAGCAACTGATGAAGGGATGCAACTGGGACATACTATCCGGAGAGCCGACTAACAGTGATTGCTGAGGGTTTTAACTCAAAATAAACAACTACTTGCTTGAATAATTGTGTATCCAAAACCAGAACAGATTTTAATCACATCTAAATTTCACTTAAGCTTCTTTTAAACATCATTTTACAGAGCATTTCTCCCTCCTGTGAGACTCTTCTAATATTTTTTTAGTAAATCGTAACTTTATATTTTTCTGTTTATCCCTGACCTCTCTTCCTAATCTCCCATCAGCTAAGTAAACCACAATAAAACATGTGTATACATTCAGATCAGGTGTAAATCTACAACTTCCAACAGTTAAGCAGAGGTAAAAGAATATTTCAAGGAGATAAACTATCCCATGGATTGTAAAGAAAATGAGTAAAAATAGGATATGTTATAGATCAACAGGGGGAAAGCAAAAAAGATTTCTAATAAAAATGAAAAATACTACACCATGCCAACATATGAATTAAAGCATTCCAAAAATAAAGAAAAGCTATGCTTTTCCTCATTTTAGGAAAAGTTAGTGAGGCAGGCAGTAATATAAAAGCCAAATAAATCTGAAAATAACGTAATTAAATCCATTTATTTAATCTCTCTTTCAGGACTGATTGGCCAATGTGCATGTCTAACCATTCCCTCTACTGGGTGGAACCACAATGTGAGCCCCAAAGGATAAAAAGACTCTGACAGCTTAGGCTACAGTAGCTTGCGTATCATACTTCTTCTTCCGCTATTACCATGAAGACTTGGAATAATCATAGTGATTACTAGGGAGTCTTAACTGTAGATTTGGCAGCAATTCAAAGCTATGCTGTAATTTCAAGTGGCAATAAACACAGGATATTAACATGCATCATTTGCACTGGGTCTGAAATACAACCCCCCTCCCCTCAGTTTAGGTCCAATCAAAATGTAAACTCAAGATAAATTTGATCTTAATCAGCACTTTCTCTAAAACAAGGCAATCTTCTAACCTATTACAATTGTGCTGTCTCTTTCAGCTTCAGCAACTGATCTTAATTTTAATTCTAGCTTTTATTTTCCTTTCTGTTTCTCTAGTATTAAAAAAAGAAAAAAAAAAAAGTCAAAATGTCCATCATAAAGAAATTTCTAGACTCAGCATCTGACTTGCCACAGGAGATTTCTGCAGGAAGTGGTGAGAGAGATGAGACATACCATTTTTTAATTCCATAGTCTTGCATATGGTCAGAAATCAAGACACTTCATATTCCCCAGCACTCTAAACTGACCTTGAAGGAAGAAACCTCCTTTGGGCTGCGTAAGAAATCAAAATACAGAAACTCTTAATTTCAGCACGCAGCAGCCATGCACTGAGAGGCCAAGCGTGCCCAGGAAGCACCTACACTTCTTCAGTCGCCTCCAGGAGACTGAACTCCCACTGGAGTGAATTCTACCTGGATTTGGCTGTGGGGATTCAGTCCTAAAGAGTTCACTCCAGCAAAAACCTTAACAATGCAAACTTATGAGCCATCCCTACTAAGGTCAAATAATTGCCATTAAGAACATGTAATGTCAACACCCAGATGAAGGTTCTGAGCTAAACTGGAGACCACGCTGCTGGGCACAGGGCAGCACCAAACTCCTAGTGATACCATCACATAAACCTGCATGCCTACGTGTGTTCCGAAGAGCAATATTCTTTGTGGCAGTACTGCCAATCTCGGGGCAGTATTCATAGAGCTTTGCAGCACTGCAGTAACACCCTCAACATTTTTCAGATTAAGTAACTAACTCATCTATTTTTCTTGTTCTTACAGTTTACATTATTTATGTGTTATTAGATATGCTTGGCTGATACAGAAATTACTCTAGCTCCTGGTCCCAATTGTAAATGAGATGTTGCTTCTCAGATGGCATTCATAAAACACACAAAGTGGACTGCCAAG